GTCAGCCCCTGGAGCTGGGTCAGCCTCTGGAGCTGGGTCTCTTCTCTGTTCACAGGACGAATACCAGTTCTGTTACCAGGCAGCTCTGGAGTATCTGGGAAGTTTTGATCACTATGCAACATAAAAAGCCATCCGTTGTGCAGACTCTACCAACCACTTAAGTCCTGGAAGGCCTCTTTTGACCCAGGAGGAGCGCTTGAACTTACAAAACTGAATCAGAAGAAGTACCTTTTCATCTGGACAAGGCTTTGGGGAGCAGGGGGAAGGATTGGATGGAACACCCCTTCAGGAACTCCACGTTGTAACCTGGACCGTGAAGAGGCAGCTCAGGAGACTGCTGAAGGACTGCTTTAAGTGGTGAACTGCTCTTGTTACCTCAAGTGGTGTTCGCTGTGGAGGACGTATGGACATCCTGAAACAGATCCAAAAGCTCAAACACACCTTGTGAAACGTTCCTGCTGGAGAAGGGAAGGAAACCGACTTTGGTTACATCATTAGAGTTCAGTTTATTTACTAATATAGTTGGCAGTCTTTAAAGGAAGTCACTTGCAGCATTGGAGGTGTTCTGTGAAAGAGAAGAAAAGGAACTAAATCTCAACACTTAGGCAAACTTAGGGTCAGGAGTTCTTCTAGCTGGAGTCTTAATAACCTCAGCATCAACATTTGGGATGATTCTGGGCTTGCAGGCACCTTGCAAACAGCATTCACCGAATGCCCCGGCCACGCCAGAGGTTTTATAGCTCACATTTTGAATACTTGGAACATTCCTCATTTCTTCTAATTCCAAAATTTATTTTTTAGGCTATTTAAAATGAGAGAGAAAGAGAGAGAGAGAGAAAGAGAGAGAAGAGACACCACCCCCAGCCCTGGCCGTGTGTTGTGGCCCCTTCCCCTGGCATCTCTGTGGGCAGGGGGAGGTGGCAGCTCCCCTGGGCCGGGTTCACCAGCTGCTGGGTCTGTCCCAACCCCCCCTTTTTTTTTCAGCACATCCAGCTAAAACCACAAAGGCATTCAGTCCAGCAGTGGTGCAGGGAGGCAGCCAGCCCCTGGCCAGGGCTCTTTGCACATTCACACGGCTACGAACGTGCCCTGGGTGTCCAGCTGATGGGGAGAGACCAAGTGAGAAGCGTTCAGTGGCATATACTGTGAGTGGCTTTCTTTAAAGTATTGATGTAACTGTAACAAGTGACATTACCTTCTTTTTTTTTTTTTAAATAGTGTATTTTTTCCTTTTTTTTAAAAAAAAAAAAGACAAAGAATATCAGTCAATGAATTTAAAAGAAAAAATTTGCTTATTTGTTCATATTATGTTCAAAGACAGTCTATTTTTTCACTGTAGAAATGTTACGTGTAATGGCTGTGATATATAAAATGCAGTGCAAATTGCTACTTCTACATATTGCTTTTCTACCATTTAAAAGGTTTAACTTGCTCATGTAAGAACAAAATGTCCTTTCTGGATGATTTTTTTTAATTTTTTTTTTTTCCTGTTCTTTTCAATCAGTCACAGACATATCACCCAGCCCTGCAGGGGTGTGAGAGCAGCAGGCAGGCGAGTGGCAGAGCCCCCCCTCCAGCCCTGGCCACGTTGTCCTGTCCTGGCAGGGCCAGGGGGGAGCTGGGAGGTTCAAATTCAGAGCTGGGAGGTTCAAATTCAGAAGTAGAGATTCAAATTCGGAGCTGGGAGGTTCAAATTCAGAGGTAGGAGGTTCAGATTCGGAGCTGGGAGGTTCAAATTAGGAGCTGGGAGGTTCAAATTCAGAGCTGGGAGGTTCAAACTGGGAGCTATGTGGGGTCTTCACATCAAAGGTGTGTCTTGCAGGGGTCTCCCCATCCACGCTGTGCCCAGAGGCTGGGAGCAGACACTGCCCTACGTTGCCCGCCTGTCACTTTTCCTTTGGGTTTTTTTTTTTGTTATTAATTTTTCTAGAAGGGGGAATCGTGGCCATCAAGTGCTACCCAGAAACCCCACCACCATCTATTCGCTGTCGAACCGAGAGAGAGAAAAAAAGAGAAATGAACGAAAGGCTTCTTCAAGATTTTCCTTCTTATTTGTGTGAAAGTTGCCCAAATTTCTAAGTCTGTCGCCGCAAAATCTTACTGGACGAGTTGGGGGGAGGGGGGGAAGGATTTTTTTCTTTGTATGAGAGCAAAGTGCTGTTGCTTTCACACTGTTATTTCAAACTGAAACAGTAAGTGGTTTTCATACCACTGTGTATGTAGATATATTGACTTTGTATTAAAGGAAGATTGTCTGAAGGCCTGAGTGCAAACTCTCTGTTTTACCTCTCTGAGGTACCAGCTCCTCCCCCTGCTCTGCCCCTAAACTCAGGCACCTTTTTGAGCCAGCGTGGCTGCAAAGAGGAGCTGGGCTGGGCTGACCCTGGCAGGGTGGGCTCAGGCACCAGCCTGGGCAGGGCTGTGGCTCAGCCATGGGCACAGGGGTTGTGCTGCCTGGGGGGTGCAGAACCTCCAGAGATCTCCACTCCCTTACATGGGGCAGAGGCTTCCAGAGGAACTGATCCCATCTCCTGGCTGGCTCAGGCTGGAGCCTGGTGGGAGGTGGTTGCCAACACCCCCAGCTAGTCCAGGTGCTGTCCTGGCTCCAGAGGATGGCTCTGAGCTTGCTGGTGTGTAGAGAAATCTCCCTGAAGACACAGAAGGTAACGAAGCCAAAGGTCTGTTTGAAGCTCCTGGCCATGGCAGATGGAGAAGTCCCTTGTTAGGCTGGGCCTGTGTCTGCCTGGAGGGAACAGCCCAGGAAGAGGAGAGGGCAGCTCAGCTCCTCAAGTCCCTACAGCCTGCACCACACGTGCTGGAAGCAGAAGACTCAGCTGCCTGCTCCACACCAATGTGAGCTGCTTGAAAATCTCTGTCCAGCTGAGCCAGAGCCTCATACACTAAACCAGAGTCTCTGGTAGGTCTGTGCTAACACTGGCTCCTACTCACAGGTCACCTCAGCCTGGCCTGAGCTTCCCACGTCATCCACAGTGAGCCAGGAAGGAGCTGAGGGAAAGGCTGGTGAGGAGATGGCTTTGGGAGCAGCAGCAGGAGGATGGATCCTCCTGAATAGTCTCTCTCAGGTATTCCCCCTCCCCTTCACAGCTGCTGTGCCAGCACAAACCATCTCCCCTTACTGGAACCGACACCACCAGCAGCATTTTGCCTCCAGCTTAAAGGGAGAAACAAAACCACACACACAAAGAAGAAGAAAATCAGCAGGTTAGCAGAGAAAGGTGATCAACAGTGAGCTGTGGGCCCAGGGAACTACAGCACCTTCCAAACGCTGGTCCTCCACGTGATGGAGCAGGTGGGCAACCAGACATCAAACAGCAACGACCTGTTGGCACAGGAAAAAAAGGGGAAAGGAGAAAAACCAGGTAATTAACAAAGGTGCTGGCTTATAATCATGTCTCAGGTACGGGAGCACCCCGGGCAGTGCTCTGCACTGGAATGGCTTTTCACTCTTGATCATCTCCTGGATTCATGAAGCTGATTTGTAGCCTGGGCTCCACAGCTCAGCAGTAACCACAGGACCCAACGTGTCGGGTTTGATGCTCACTTTATCACTGAAGGATAAGGAAAAAGGGATTCTTGCTCTTCTCAGCTCTGTTCATCAGGCTCCCTCCCTCCACGCCGTGCCGACCTGCTCCCCTGCCCTCAGCAATGCTATTCCTGGCTCTCTCTGACACTACATCACTCACCACCACTCTGGCTGCTGATTTCTTTGTCCCAGCCTGTTCTGAGCTGGCACAACCCTCCCCCGTGCCGAGCAGCACGACCCTCACAGAGCAGAAGTAAATACCAGCTGGAGGACAGGAAGGTGAGTGACAAAGAGAATTGGAACAACAGCTGGGAACCAAGTAAATCTTTCCCAAAAAAAAACCCCAACCCATACAGCAGGAAGCCAGTTAGAGAAGCAAAACCAAAATGAAGTCTTAACACAAGAGCTCAGGGCTTACAAAAGCTGCAAGGACTTAAAATGAGACCGAGTTCACTGTGACACTACAGCTCTGGTGATGGTCCTGCAGCAGGTCAAGGAACACCCATAACGTTGTGAGGAAGGTCCCATTTAGCAGCTTTGCCTTCTGGGGCCATCTCATGACGGTGCTGTGAGAGCTGAGCTGGGCTGGGTTCAGCACACCCATGTCCCCAGGCCCTGACCCCCAAAACACCCAAAACCTCAGGCAGGGACAGCAGCACTGCAGACACCAACCTCGGCCAACAGCAGCACCAGGACTCACTTGTAGTGACAGGATGAGGGGTGATGGCTCTGAGCTAGAAAAGGGCAGATTTAGGTCAGATGTTAGGAAAAAGTTCTTCAATATGAGGGTGACAGATCACTGGAATAGGTTGCCCAGAGAGGTGGTAGAGGCCCCAACCCTGGAGACATCTAAGATCAGGCTGGATGAGGCTCTGAGCATCCTGACCTAGTTGGAGACGTCCCTGCTGATGGTGGGGGGTTGGACTAGATGAGCTTTGTTGGTCCCTTCCAACCCAAACACTCCATGATTCTATGATTCTGTGGCTCAGCTCTGCCAGCTGGGCAGATCCAAAGCACAAATCTAAGTTTGAATCCCAAATATTGCTTTCCTTTGACCTTTAATTTCTTGTCTGAGATGCTACAGGAGGGATCAAACAGCTTTGGGAGAGACAGCTTCACCTCCTGACCAGCACGTGGGGAAGTCAAGGCCCCCCCTCTGCTTCCACTGTTGAACCAGCTCCAGGGTGGAAGTTGGAACATATTTTAAACCACATGTAGGATACAGAAGATAAAGAATTAAGAAGCTGAAGCAAACACTGTCCTGGTGACTACCCAGGGCACAGCACTCAGCCACAACAGGACTCTGCTCTGGACTTCTCTGGGAGCCTCCTGTGCTCACGTTGCCATCCACTCCTCACAAGAGAATTAAATGATTCTTGTTTCACACACAGGAGGGAGGCTGGGGGCTGAACAGCAGCACCACGTGTCCATTTATTAACTCTCCCTCCAGCTTTTAACATCTTTATTCAGCCTTTATTCATCCCAGCCCATCTCTGATCTACTGATTCTGTTGTCTCCTTTATCTCCCCACCCATCGACAGCTCCAGCTCCCTCTGTGATGTGTACAGAGATCAAACCCTGATGGTGCCACCTCAGCCTGACTTTATCTCTTGCAAGACCAACGTGCACAATTCCCTTCCAGTCACTAAAGGCAGCGAGTGGTGAGGAAGATTTTGGGGCTCCATCCCCTGGGGTGGTGCATCCCCAGAGCACACCCACCCGTGCAGATGGCAGCCCTAGATTAGCAGGTTACACAAGGGGTTTATCCCAGGCTTACCAAGGATAAGAAACCCCTCTCAAAAAAAACCACTATTGTGTCTAAATGATTAAAAAAAAAGGAGAAAAAAAAAATAAATCTCTTTTCTTTCACTGTGTCTCGT